CAAACTTGCTGTCAACCATACAGGTAAACCCCACAAAGCTTTCCCATATAGGCCACGCGTTACAGGCGGATGAAATCTTATAGAATGTGACAGCGCATTATGCATCTCTCTCTCTCCCTCCCTCCCTCCCTCCCTCCCTCTCTCTCTCTCTCTCTCATTTTAAAGGGCTTATTTTCTCAGGCAATACGATAATTTTTATAGAGTCACATAAAGCTTAGTGGAGTAAGCAATGTTTGCTTGTTCTTTAAAAAGCTGTGGGGTTTGGGGGAGGTGTGGTTTGTTTTGGGAGGGGAAGTGGGGACAAAGTGGCATACAACTGGAAGTGATAGCCTTGCTTACAGTTATAGAACCATAGAATGGTTTGCGTTGAAAGGGACCATTAAAGGTCATATCATCCAACCCACCTGCAATAAGCAGGGACATCTTCAACTACATCAGGTTGCTCAGAGCCCCGTCCAACCTGACCTTGAATGTTTCCAGGGATGGGGCATCTACCACTTCTCTGGGCAACCTGTTCCAATGTTTCACCGCCCTCATTGTAAAAAATTTCTTTCTTGTATCCAGTTTAAATCAACTCTCCTTTAGTTTAAAACCATTGCCCCTTGTCCTATTGCAACTGACCCTGCTAAAAAGTCTGTCCCCATCTTTCCTATAGGCCCACTTTAGGTACTGAAAGGCCGCAATCAGGTCTCCCCGCAGTCTTCTCCTCTCCAGGCTGAACAAGCCCAACTCCCTCAGCCTGTTCTCATAGGAGGGGTGCTGCAGCCCTCAGATCATTTTTGTGGCCTCCTCTGGACCCGCTCCAACAGGTCCATGTCTTTCCTGTGCTGAGGGCTCCAGAGCTGGACACAGGGCTCCAGGTGGGGTCTCACCAGAGCGGAGCAGAGGGGCAGAGTCACCTCCCTCGCCCTGCTGGCCACGCTGCTTTTGATGCAGACCAGGATATGGTTGGCTTTCTGGGCTGCAAGTGCACAAGCCGATCTCTTTTTCTTTCTCTCTTTCTCCCTACCTCCCTCTTCCCTGTCCTGTAATGCTTATAGCAAAAAATATGTGATTCCCTATGACTGGCCTCTGCCCTTCAAAATGGGAAGCCTCTCTGAATCTTAAATATTTTTACCAAGCTTCTTTGTCAATGATAACTGCTGGCTTTTCTTTTTCTATCCCTGTATATGCAATGAAACAGCTGCATGTCCTCTTGCCTTCTTGGATAAAGGGCCTTGCAGCAGCAGACTGTGATCACCTGGTAGTCATCAAAATGAGTTGCCTGGTGCCTCGCTCAGTGCTAAGGTAGTCCATAGCCTCCTCCGACTGTAAAGGCAACAACACGTAGGAGTGATTATCTAGCGTCAGAAGCTAAGGTGGTATAGATACTGTTGTGCCAGTGATCCAGAAGGAAAGCTCCGGGGGAAAAAAGCCACTGTTCCCTGGGGTGTTACACAGTAGTTTAGGGAAATCTCATGTAAATGCAACTGGTTGGTTTTCCTTTCTCTACTCTCCAACCTCATCCACCCCCTTATTGTGGTAAGTTATGGTGGAGTGATTTTTTTTTTAGGTAATAAAGATTGGCTGAATTCTTTTTTCCTCCCTCTAATTAGTTGTAATGGGGGGGGGGGCGGTTTGCATAAAAAAAGAAAGTAATTTTTGTATTGGGTTGTCTGAACTAATTTTTCACTTATGTGGATATCATCATGTGATTTCCCTTCCCCTTCCAAATCAATTTCTTCTATCTTGAGAGGAGAATAAAGCACTAATTTACTTGATTTGCATCAGCTTCATTTGAAACTTTGTAAAAATGCCCATTCTCTCCTCCTGTTACCTTGTAGCTTCATTCAGGAATTCTGCTAATGCTACCACATCCATCACTGTCAGCTTGAACAAGGAAGATGCAACCTGGAGCAGTGAGAATTGAGAAGTCTCATATATATATAAAAAAAAATAAAAATTACAAACTGATCCCTACTACAACAAGATAACATTCATGATGCAGTGCTGTAGTATAAGGGTTTTATTTCCGCTTCCTTTCTGTATGTGGTGGAGCACATTTAGATTTCATTCTTCCCCTAGGCTCTATTTATTTGTGTTTTACTCCCTGTGAAAAGAATGCCTTTGATAATACCATTTTAAATATGCTTTCATATTTCTGTGGCATACTTTCTCACGTTCCATGCTTTCCAGCTTACATGATAAACTGTGGTCTTTTCCGTGTTACCACTGCTGTAGTCAGAGACAGCTACAGAGCTCTCCTGTGGTGTAAACCTTTCCTTTTCTCCTATAGTATGCTTAACAATAAAGTTTGTAATATTCTGATCACCTATAATTGCAATGCAACTACAGTTTAGACTTCAAATTCTGATGTACTTTCATAGGAGGGTATGCAAGTCTTGGAATGGGTCGTTCACCTGGTGTCTTAATACGTACTCTTCAGTACGCTGTTTGGGAAAAGTGCTTTACAGCACAAATCTCTTGCTACCAATAAATCAGTACTTAGCAGGACGAGCGCTGCTTAGAGCGGTATTTCAATGCTTGCATTATGAGCCGATGTTTGTTCCCTTTGCCAACCCAAATTCCAGTCCAGGTCTTCACGTAATGCAAATCAGATTATTGAAATCCAGGGTATGCTGATCTGGAACAGTCTGTCAAGATGTACTCAAGGATCTAATCTTAACTCCGAATTTAGTTTAAAATAGTAGTGTTGTTCCTTTCCCGTAATGCTTCATTCCCATTTTCTCCCTGAATTAATAGTCAGGCTAAACAGATTCTTACCTAGGTAACTCTGATAAAAGTAGTGTCATGAGTGGCTGTACTGCTGGGTGATTAGACAGCTCTGCAAAGTCAAGCAATTCAATTTTTTTTTTTTCTTAACTACTGCCTACCTTCTATTGCAGATCTAATAATACAATGTCAACTGGAAGGGTACGAACGAAAAAAAAGGCATGCTCTTCAGACCAGTCTCCAGACAACCTTCCCCTGAGGAGTTCTGGAAGACAGGTATTTATAATAACTTAAAAACACGTGGGTTTGTACTCTGGTATTTTTTATTTTCTGTTGACATTTATAAAGAAAGTGGGCTTCGTTGTAGATAAGTTAGGACTTAGAATACTTATGCAGGGAGAGGGAGAATTAGTTAATTCTGTGAATAAGTAGGTAAAGTGTCTCATTTGTGTACAGTATTCAGAAAAGACAAATGCTCAATGTAATCTGTAAATACTGGATGTGTTAAAAATACCGTCACAGATTTCTGTACAGCCAGACAAAGCTGTCTGCCCATCCAGACGGAGGCCTAAAACAACACAATACACAGTACCTTTGAGGCCCAGAAGAGAGATTTGATATACAGCTTTGTATCTGGAGTCCAAAAAAAGCCCCAAGCCTGCCCTAGTATTTTATTTGAGGTGCAGACAAAATTGCCACTAATTAATTACAGTAAGTATGTGAAGAAGAGATTTTCTTTTTCTGAAGGAGAAATAGAATGAATGTGTGAGGCTTGACTCATTAGCATGTGATGGAGCTTAAAATATGATTTAAACTGGAAGCTTTGCTTAATTTCTTCAAAGGCATCAGTTAGAATAAGGCAAGACAGTTTTAGCTTTAAATGATATTTCCAGCCTTACTGTTTTGGGCTGGTTTTTTTTTTGTTTTTTTTTTTTTGTAGAAAAACTGACCTACTTTGACAGCTGTTTCATGCTGCAGCTATTTCACAATGGAT